TTGTTTTCGTATGTATTTATTAATTCCACAACTTCTCCCCTTCCGTCATTAGTTCAGCAGACGACAGGCAAACACATGGGTGCTTTGAAAGTCGAGAAACGCCACGAGGCTATGGACGCGATTCCAAAGATGGTCAAACCCGCCTTCCTTTCTCAGGCTCCCCTTTCTGCCTCAGCGCTAAAACATCCGTTTTTTTTCCCCCCCATTAAAGTCTTCCTCGCAGCCAAGAAGGCACGACGTGATTTCCTCTGCGGCCCAACGGAGACCCCCCCATCCCAACCGCGTTACATTTGTTTAGCTTGCGTGCGGCGAGTGTTTGTGAAGAAATGGGTCAGGTATGCTCGCTTGGCCACTCTCGAGACAGAACGGTTTAATAATAACTACGAGACGCGAGTGCGAGCACGCGCATGTTGAACACATTTCCCATTGTGTTTAGTAACGGGCCTCACGGTGCCTGCGAGTTAAAATAAACCCGCCCCCCCCCCCCCCCCCCCCCAGATATTCGTACTTTGCTCGTGCTGGAATGTGTTTCTGGCGCGGGACAACCGCGCACGTCACAAGGGCTGCGCTCGCATGCGCATTTCACTCGATAACCTCAACCGACGGACACGTCACGTTCATCGGGGAAAACATGAACGCACCGTTGCCATCTCGCCCGCCGCTCTCTCGTCTCGGCGTCCGTTCCGTACCCGAAAGAACAGATGCTCCCCTCGGAGTTCGCCCACCGTGAAACACCTCCCAGCAGGGACCCGAGGCAGTCTCCGCGAATCCCGCGAGAGCGAGGGGACGGGCGAGGCCGCGCGCGCGAGCGTTCACGCCGTGTTTGGTTCACGCCGGATGGCAATGCACGGTCGCGCAGGCTTCGTACAGGCCAGGGGCCGGCAAACCTGCGGCTCTTTAAAGAACGCTTTGTGGCGTTATTCACGTGCAGCGCGGATATTGAAATGTCGATTTTTGTTTGTTTTTGTTTTACCGAATTCGAACATAGTATGGCTCTTCCTGTTGATTTGGATGCCAACCCCTGGTTACAGACACCGGCATCCGCACGGTTTTCCGACGTGTTCTCGGGCTGGTTGCCGCGTATTGTTCGGCGTGATGTCCGGCGTTTCGTTCCACCACCTGGGTGCTTCTTCAACGAACTGAACTGAGCAGGTGGCATTCTGCCCCGATGATATCGAGTTGCCAGCTGCTGCGGCTCGTGCTTGATGTAGGCCGGCTAATACAAGATCAGCTCAGCACTTGCACAAACATGATTGTCCCATATGTTGTTTACATTTTTTTTAGGCCATGCTCGCTTTATCTAGTACAGCGGTTCTCAGGGTGCGGTCCCCTGGCACCGCGGGTGTGGTCCAAAAAGGGCTGTGAGGCAGACGCAGGTTGATCCGTAAATAATGACAACGTTTATACCTTTTTGTTACGAAAATGCATTCATATTTTAATGTAAAAATGAAGCTAGGTAAACTATCCTGATCAAACTACCCAAGCTAAATGCCCCCTCCTGAAAAAAAAGACATAGCTGCGCAAACATTTTTTTGTGTTCCAGTAATATGAATCGTTTTGTGTTACTTGCATTTAGAGAGAGAGAGAAGCGATTGTGTTTTTTTCACCAGGGGTGCAGGGGGGGGGGTCTGTGTGGTCCGCGGAAATGTTTACATCGGCCGTGTGGTCCGCGGGCCAGACAGGATTGAGAAACGCAGCTCTCACGTAGGTGCAATGTGTTCGGATAGGCCACTCACCTTTCCTGTGAGCTCTCCAACCTTGGTTGCACTCAGCAGGGAGTCTCGACACACGACGTTGACAATTTAATATTTGGTCCCCAAGAGGCTTTGTTGGGACCGAAACCCACACACCGGGGGCTTGCACCGAGGACCTCTAAGTCAAGATGAAGCCTGTCCGTCAAAACGTCCTGTGGGTGCAGCCGAGGTTGGAGAGCTCGCAAGAAGAGTGGGTGGGCTACGCTAAGAGTTAAATTACAACCGACACGACACGAGCGTGTTATCACTCGTGATTAAAAACAAGAATAGGCTTTTTTTCCCCTTTTCCAGCGATCGCACAGGAGGTGTTAAGCTGTTCAAACACCAAATAGACACCTATTGCAAGGCATCACGTCTGCATTAACCACACACGCTTGTGGCAAAAACGTGCAAACAAGCATGCTTTTATAATGTATGCATTGCATTTGAAACTGATTGGCCGACACCAGAGACAGCCTTCTTCATGGCCTTGTCTCACCAGTGCCAGTCGAGAGAACGGCACAAAGTGAACAGCATACATTTTGAAAGCACGTTTGTTTGCATGTTTTACCACGAGCATTTGTGTGATTAATGCAGACGTGATGCCCTGCAATCGGGATCTATTTGGTGTTTGAACGTCTTAACACCCCCTGTATTCTTTCCGGAAAGAGTAGACGCTATCCCTTTTTCATAATGTTGATGATGGCAAAAATGATGCCATAGATATGTTATTCCTCAAGAAAAATCATTCTTCATCATGGTAAACTAAAACGATTTTAACTAAACTATTTTTTTATATTACCAGGTAAGGCCCACTGAACTGGCCAAAAATTTGTGGCTTTTCACGTGGAAATGTATAGCAGCCAAATACTCCAAACGCATGTTTATAAATGTGGAGAGAAAAACTGGAGCACCCGAAGAAAAATCAACGCGACCACGGGGAGAACATGCAAACTCCAAATATACAGCAGGTGTCAGGGTCAGAATCGAACCCATGACCTCCTACATGGCAGACGAGGTAGCGAACATCTTGCCACCGTGGTGCCCCATGTGGTAGTGGCTGACACGCTCCGGCTCGGTGCTAAAGAGTTTCTGAAGCGGGCGTTCAGAAGCGTGTCGGTGACCGCCGACGGAAACTGAGCGTTTTCCTCCTACATCGTCCCCAACTTCCCCACCCCCGCCCGCCCCACCTCCGTGCCAATCTTCGAAAACACTCGCCAGCCTGTAGCATCATCGCCCGAGCGCCACCTTTAACATCGCGTTCACTGCGCAACTCGGCTCCGCCGCTGCATCTTTAAACCCGCTGAACGTTTCGATCGCGATTGCCCCGTTGAAAGCGGCGGCCCCATGCGCGGCGTGCCGCTCGACGGGAGCCTCCGGGCGGAGAAATCCACTTCGCCTTCGGCGGAGAACGGCGCCCGCGCCTCGCCCCTCGAGGGGCTCCGTCGTTTGAAAGTGCCGCGCCGACGCGTTCGACGTTCTGTTTTCCGCACCGACGCGCAAGGTTTCACCCGCAGGCGCCCGAAGAGTGCCCGCGACGAGATGCAGGGTAAAACAAAGGAGGCGAGCCCAAAATAGCCGACCATTGATTATTAAAAAGTGACCTCGAGATGTTTCGAGTTAAAACCCTGTTCGGGATAAACACGTGTGAACTTCTTGCGCGCACCGTACGGAGCCAACCGTGCTAGTCAGACGTCCGGGCAAAAGACAGCAAACTAAACACAACAAGCAGATCTAAAGAAATTCGTTTTCATTGGAGAACACGTCGTACTCCACGGGCACAGTCACACTTTGGAAGTCGGTGCTTACTGCGTACATTTACTGACATGTCATCGTTGATAAGAGGAGTTCTACTGTACTATAACTGTACAAAAATGTGCACGACTACTGGTTGCTGACTAAGCGCCGAACCTACTCGTAGTCTGTGCTCTCCTGTGTATTCGAAGCTTTCCCATTTCGGCACATTAATCATTCATGTCACAGAGACTGAACCGTCGGATGGATTTTTGTCCGAATTGCTGTAGGTTGTCTCTCAGTGATGTCTAAACACGCTGCTGGATAAATCACGGCACGCACTGTGACTGCCGCCGCTGTCTCACACCCAACGCCGCACACATTGGGCGAATCGTGCGAACGCAGAGAACGAAAAAAAAACGCATTGGGGCCGAGTTCATAATTTTTTTTAAAATAGGAAACAGCCAAAAACGCACCAACGAAGCAATTTAACCCCATCGTCCGCGATGGAATATGTGTGACCGCTTGCGTCAAATTAATTAGACGAGAATGAGCGTTCGCCAAAATCGCGAAGTGGGCCAGAAGCGCATGCTCGTGACGGCACAGACGCAAGGTTAGAGCTCATCTGTCCTCATTCGTCAAAGGCGGGGTTGGCTCCGTATTTTTTTTTCCTAAAGCGTGCTGACCTCAGGAATGATAATGCAATGCACAATCGGCAAGTGGCATGGCTGTTTGGATTAGCTTCACGTGGCAGGGCCCCGCAGCACAATCATTCGGCCATGATTTAGAGAGGAGAGCAAACACGTACCCAGAGTCAACCGTCGCGAACGCTGAGCCGTGGGTTTGTTAACCCCTCGCAACGCAGAGGCATTTGACACATGGGTAGTTAAAGCGGTGGGTCTCAGTCTCTTTGGTGTGGCGGCCCCCCTAAGCAAGACCACTAGTTGACGTGGCCCCCAACCCTCCTTAACCTCAGAAAGACAACTAAGGTTGGTAAGGCCACAATACAGAGCGATCACTTGTCAGCGCCTCGAGTCGATGCCAACTACATCATCGTAAGCTACGTCAGGCAACTTGAGTGAATGCGCACTACGGATATGCATTAGGTTGGATTTGTTTCATGTCGCTGTGTGAGTGTGTTGTTTCGCTACAGCGTTGGAGAACTGAATTAAATTAAGAAAAAAAAAGCATCTAGTACGGTGTGAGAGCCTGTTGAGTCCACAAGTCTCCGTTGCAAAAGTTCATCGGGACTAAATAATAAAACAACCCGGCAGAGAAACTGGGTTGCTTGCCAAGTCTTGGTTGCCATACCAAAAGAAATAAATCACAGAATGTGCTGTGGCAAAAAACTAAATTCAACGCGGAAGGCTCCTGAGCGGCGTTGGCACGAGCGCGCATGTCGCCTTCACCGTTACACGGAGCACGGAATATCAACGCGTCGCATCCCGGGGGCTCGCGCTGGAGGAGGGGGTAGGTGGTGGGGGGGGAACGTCTGCAGACAATGTGCTGACTCGCCCGAGGTGTGTGTTGCAGGAACGCCATGGACACGCGCGCGATCCTGCTGTTGTGCACCTGCGCCGCCCTCTCTCGAGCCCAGCTGACGTCGGAGCAGGCAATGAGCGCAATCGGTAACCGCTTGCAATGTACACCGTAGCTGTCGCGTGCGCAGGCGGTGCGACTGGACCTGTGCCAACGGGCCGTAGGGCCCCAGGTGCTGGGCTAGGAAGAGAGACGAGGGTGGCGAGGAGAGGGCCGCATTTCATTCCTTGTTCCAGGGCCCATGCCAACCACTGCTGCACGTGGCTCCCGTAGTCAGGATTTGGTGATGTGTAATGATTCACCCGGTCACTGCCCACGATTTGATGATTTGTTATGATTGGAGATCGTGATGAGGATCTTTTTTTTTTTACCCTCATATGCATGACGGGGAGTGGCATGTCAGAGGGGAGAACATGCCTGAGAGAGCGTCTAAACGTCTACCGTGGAGATGGAATGATGAAATGATATCAACTGTTGTATCTCGAGACAACAATACATGGCGAAGGCTTGGGGACACCTTCATGCAGTTGTAGATATATCATGATCATGATGATAGCAAAGAATGCACTCAGAGTGTAGTTTATTGTTAGAATGATGGCAGAGACGAATGGGCCCAACTAATTTTAAACACAATCCTATCATTTATCACATCTATGACAATACAAGGCATACAATGTACATCATCTGTGTAGGGGAAGACTGCCTCATTCTGTGTTAGAATTTACGGCAACATTTTAACCACTGCCAGTAAAATAATAAAACCCAACGAGATAAAATACCGAAAGAAAAGCATAGGAACAACAATAAACGAAGCTTGGTAGGAGGAGGCTTATTTAACAAAGCAAGTATTCACCAGCACACATTTGACCCTATTTATTTCAAGGTGTTTGGCAGAGCCAAGTTGTTGTCCACCAAGGTCGGTTTACAGTTGCAACATTAAAGGGGAAGTCTAATTTTATACTGCACTTTATAAAGCACCAAGTATCATTAAATATGCATGGAAGCGTAGATCATGGATCAATCACAAAATCAGACGCATCATATCGACTGCTCGGAGAAGCCAGCGTTCTTGGGCAAGGGACACATCGTGGCTTAGAATGGATGATGGCAGATTGGTGAGAGTGGCGACGGACTGGCAGCCCCGAAGGGAAGATCGCAACCGGGAAGGAGACACCGGCGTTCAGGCTGGAGCGATCAGATCACTTACCCGTGCAAGGAGCGAGATGGATTGTGGCGTCGCAGGAGCGTGAGGTGATGGCTATGGCATGCGGAGGCCGTCATTCAGCGGAGGATAAGCAATGGCTGATTGATGTTGCTGATCGACGACCGATGGTGCGTTATTGATAGCGGGTGAGCGATGATGATGGTGGTGGTGGGCACTTCGGGTAGTGGTCGTGATGGTATTGGGAGTGGTGGTGGTGGTCGTGATAATTATGGGTGATAGTGGTGATGAGGATGATCATGATGGTGGTGATGATGGGCAATGGCTATGATGGTGGCGATGATAATGATGGTGGGTAGTGACAGTGATGATTATGATAGGTGGTGGTGATCATGATGGTAAAGGGTGGTGACGGTGTTAATGGAGGCAGCGATGGTGATGACGAAAGCGTTGGTGATGATAATGGCAACTAGGATGATGATGACATACAGACAGTCTCGATTTAAAGCTTTCGTGACTGCAGGGATTCATGTTCTTGGTTCTTTCGGTAAAGTCACGTAGAAGGGTAAAGTCACGTATAATATATAATGTTTTATTTTTATTATTTTATTATTTTCCTTCTGCGCGACTTTACCGAAAGAACCAAGAATATACAGACAGTAGCCAACATTTTGCTCAAAGTCATTCATTCAGCCTGACTGAAATCTTGATGAAATCACCTGCAGTCATTTCTCCCAGTGGTCTAAAAATAATATTTGCCAACGCTTGAATCGGTGAAGGAGTGCATCGCGCGTGCTGTGTTCTTCTTTTCTAACAGAGCAACAACCGACTCCAACCCAGACCGCCCCTCAAATCACACCGGCCGTGGGACTCAAAGCCCATCGCTCGGCTCCTCCAAACACACGTGGTAGCTCTTGCTCGCTCACTCGCACGCACGCACGCACAGACCCACGCCCTTACGTACGCGCTGGCCTCATTTCAGTCGCGGCCGTGCACCTTCACTCAATTTTATGTTTCACTGAGTCAGTTTGAAGCGTTGAGCAAGGAGAGTAATTGAACGTGTGCTCCAAGGCCCTGTAGGGGTTGGTAATCACGGCAGGTTTTTTTTCGAGAACGATGCCAAGACCCGAGATGTGTCTGCGTGTGCACGCTGTGGTCGGCTCTACAGCGACGCTCGACGTCCCATTCCTTTGCAGCGCGGTGTGTTAAAGGTGCAACCGTTTTTACTTGCTTGTTCGCACCGCTGCTGGCGGAAGGACCTCCACTAAAGGGGGCTCTAGAGAGCCCCTCTAGATATGCTATTTGGCCTGCTCTTCCACACTGGCCAGATGCCTTGGAAGAGATGGCGATACCCAAACTTGGCCGCACCATACGTGGCCTGCCTGTTGAATAGCTGCGGCACGATATGATGCTGCTTAAACAATAGGCAACGAACGGCATCGTTTTTACGCAGTTGTTGAGCACAGGCCAAAAGGTCCAAAAACGTCAAACGGCCACCAACACAAAGCACTATGAAAGCTGGAATAGATAAGAGTTCAACGCGAGTTATAGCACCGTCTACGTGATTATGCGAACGCCTCACTATGTTTGCAGGATGCCTCATTGGCATCCTGGAATTATATGGTTTATTTCAGCCCGAACGTTTATAAAGTTGCAAGGCTCTGTTCATGTTAACACCCAGAACCACCAGGATAATTGCACTGAAAATACACACTCCTGGGACGGCGACACACACGCACGCATGCACGCACACAGCGTTTAATCATGATCTTTCACCGGCTTTTGATTCTCACGTGAACGAGCGGGAGTAGGGATAACGAAGTGCGAGTGCAAAGCCGAGTCAATCTGTGGGTGTGTGGGTGGGTAGGAGGGCGTGCGTGGGGCTCGTGAATCACCAGGAGGGGGGGGGGGGGTGGCTTTATATCCCTCACATTGCTGTTTCACCTCTGACAACCACACACATGTGGGCCAGGCGAGTCTGTGCCACGTTTCCCCGACCGCTGCCGAGCTGGCTCGGTGGCACAGCATGGCCCCGTGGCTCCCAACGCCGTGTGCCGAAGGCCCACTCGTACACTTCGTCCGCACTGCACACGAAGAGCCGCGTGGGGCTGACTCAACACGGCCCCAGCACGGCCCTGTCGTACAGTCGCCAGGTGATGCCAGGTTGTTTTTCCACTGCGGCAGTCGAGCCGCACCGCTGGCGTTACACGCAGTGAACAGAGTTGACGCGGCGACGCGGTTCACCGTGTCGGTGTACTGACGTACGTCCGGAAGGCTCTTCCTTCCGATATTAGGAAGACACTGGAATTTCTTTAGAACTGCTTTTTTAGGTTTACTGCGTTGTCCTTCCCCCACACCTCCGATTAGCACCGTTGGCAACGTACGGTGTGCGGCGAAATAAGTTAAACATGCATACATACATACATAAATACGTCACACAAAACGGACATTTCATTAACCCCGCCACTCCTGGCCATAAGTGGGAATTCACCCATACGGCAAGGGCCCCCGCGCAGGTTTGGCTCGGATGTACCAGTGGAAAAAAGGGGTGTTCCAGAGCCAGTTTTGTCAGCCAGTAAAGTTGCCATGGAAACACAGGGCTGATCCCATTAGCTCAGTTCACGATCGGAGCCAGCTCACTTCCCAGTAGTCATGGAAACGCAGCATGAGTGCGCATATTTACTGACCTGCAGCGTGCCTCCTACTGACCGGCGGCTCTAAGACCTATTTTGGCTAATTGGAAAGCCACGATTAGTCAATTTATATTATTATCAGCATCGTAATAACATTCTAATGTAACAATACATAATGGGCATTTATATATATTTAACACAGACATGCAGAAACACATATGCATACACGGTTGCTCAAATGCACACATGCACAGAAACATGCAAGGTTGTGATGTTGAAAATCTAAAATATACAATACAAAACAGTGAATTCACCTTGTATTAAATATATGGTATATTACAATATACCATATATTTGATTACTTGACAATTCAGGTTTAATCGTTTCTACAGCTGGCGTGCACGCAAAGTGGGGCGTTTGGCGCATGCACACATGATGTGCACCGCTACACTGAAGATGATGTAGTCGCCTTTTGGTGTCCTCTGGTCTAGCACCAATTGAGACGAAGCTTAAAATAAAGCCGTCTCTGGTGTGGACCAATCAGTTTCAAGGACAATGTATATATTATCGGAGTGTTTTTTTTTGCATTTTGACCAAAAGTATTGTGGTTAATGCACACATGACTCCTTGTAAAAAGGTTTCAGTTTTGTTGCCAGAACAAACGGGAAATCCCCTATTGTTATATTTTGGTACTGGCAAAGGAGGTCGAATGCAATAGTGCACTATGTTTCGCAGGAACCATGTATTACCGTTATGTCATAAATGGTTAAAATAATATGCGGCACTTTGCAAAACCTACGTGCTATGAAACCTCTCGCCTCCAACAAAATCTCTTGGAATGTGCCGGGTCGCGCAAGCTAAGCAAGAATTTGGGCCTGGATAGTGTGAGGATGGGCGCCCGCTGTGCACAGCAGGTGCTATAGGCTGCTGTGCTGCTACATTGGTGGGCAGCAGAGGGAATTGTGGGGAAATCGATTGTTGTATTGTACTTCTTTGTTCCCACATCTATGCTCCCTGCTTTCACCAACCAGCCATGGCGAAATACGGCCAAATATATAACCCCTATGACCCACGGAGCGTGGGGTGGCCCTCATCCAGCAGTCGATTGACAAAACAGGCTACGCGTGAAACCTCTTCCATGCAAAATTCACCTGGGTTAGACATTTCTTAAAATACAACCTTCGCAGATGTGTAACGTCCCCCGATTATTAATGCGACGACACGTTATCAAGGCCTACCTCTCGAATGCACAGCCTTTGTGTTTGTCAAGCCCTTTGCTGGAACAAAGAAGACTCGTGGATATTCTCTGCCCTCACCCGGACCTCTTTCCTTCAATTCACAGCGACATAAATTAAGGGCCTGGGCCCGAGGGAGGAGGAAGACGGCAACAATAGCTGTGACCGTAAAGCGGCTGGGACGAGTCATGTGGTCAATACAGAACGAAAACCGGAGGACCTTATCCGAACCAATTCCACATTGAACACCGGGTGCACTTGTGCTCATGTCCCGTGCCGAACGGATGTTTACGTATGGTTTTATAGTGGATATCTTTTCAGTAATCCTCGCAAAATAATACTATAATTGTAGTTGCGCAAACTATAGTCAATCTGCGGGGGGGGGGGGGGGGGGGGAGTAGTGGTGCAGTGTTTGTGCACTACCGTTTAAAACCAGTTTCCTGAGTTTGATACCTGGCCGTGAATAACATCAGCGGTGAGTGACATTTGAATCGGTCCTAGGCTCCCACTACACCAATGTGCAATAACCATAACCAAAGTGGTGCAGTATGGTTAAATTACTCCCCTGGCTGACATGACACGAAGAAGCTTTCATCCAGCAGTGGATTGACAATGCACTGTCATCATCATCATCACCACGATATATGCGCAAATATCCCGTAGGTGACCACTGCACATTCTGTCATTTGTTTCCACTTAACAATCTGTCTTGTTGTGGCACATTAGGAAAGGATCACTCTTGTAGTTATTTCCCTGTGCACCCAGGGAGTAAAGTGTGGTTCTGTGAAAGTCCTGATGTGCAGTGCATCAATGCATGTGTCCAGAAGCATGTGATGACTGAGTTACAGCCTGTAGGTGGCTGGCAGGGTTATTGAAACACATTCCTGCGGAGGGAGCTGGTAGGAACGTTGGGTTGCTCGGTCAATGGCCAGGGTCAACGGCGGCGTGGTGTATTCCGCAAATATGCGCGACTGTGAGGGCGGGCACAAGCCGGCGTGAGTAGGTTAAACGTTGAGTTTTATAAGGGCACCACGAGGTGACCAGCCCCTCCCCACCCAGCCCCACCCCTCCCACCCAGCCCCACCCCTCCCACCCCCCACCCAGCCCCACCCTCCCTACCCCCCACCCAGCCCCCCCCTCCCCACCCAGCCCCTCCCCACCCTCCCCACCCAGCCCCTCCCCACCCTCCTCTCCCCACCCTCCCCTCCCCACCCAGCCCCTCCCCACCCTCCCCTCTCCACCCAGTCCCACCCCTCCCATTTTATCCGGGTGTCCGGATACACGTGGACAGACATCCACAGACATACACAATTAATCCCCTGCCTCCTGTGAATTAATCCCGGTTGGGCTTCCAGTCCACTACGTTTCCTACCAGTAATGCCCACTAGGAGCGCATTTGTTATATATCCGGGTGTCCGGATACACGTGGACAGACATCCACAGACATACACAATTAACCCCCTGCCTCCTGTGAATTAATCCCGGTTGGGCTTCCAGTCCACTTCGTTTCCTACCAGTATAACCGCACTTGTACACCAGTCACATGGTTAATGGCGACTCGGTTCAAGAATTGCTGTGTGTGACACACGGGCTGTTGCATCTTACAGATTAACCACAATACATGTGTTTGCCCTCGATTTGGAGTACCCGCCCACGTCCTTCATTTCGAGTGTGCAACATTGTGCCAATAGGCTCAAGCAGTGCAACTCTCTTATGTCGTTAAGCCATTTTCTGTTAGGTCTTCCTCAATGCACTGTACATTATTATTATGAGATATATTGTCAATCCACTATTTTCTGTGTGTTGTGCCAATAATAAAGGGGGTTGATTGGCACAACACGCTGGCAGTGTTGGTTTCTGAAGGGGGATGCCTGGAACCGGTTAAAATATCACTCACCACTGATAGTAACCATGGCTGGGATTCAAACCTTGGTCACCAGGTTCATAGCGCAGTTTGCTAACCACTGTGCCACCACTCCCATTATAATTGCATGTGTATTATCTTAATATTCTAACGTTGCTTTTGCTCTCTTTTTTTAGATTCTGACTCTTTGCACCCAGATGACAACACAAGTATGTCCTTACATCACAAGACTGCATGCTTTGCAATTAGCAAATCGTATTCTACTCAATTGTAAACATAGATTGTTAATTATGCAAAGTACACGACATCTTCCATTTACCAAATTGCAGCATTTGTTTGTTATGTTAACACTATTTTACTTGTGTTATCCCCCACAGGAGCCATGAACAGGCAAGGTGAGCTGATGATGCTGTGTTGACAGCAGCAACACACTCCAGGGGCAAAGCGTGCTGTGCAAACCACCAGTTACAGTGGTGTGCACCCGCATCACAATATACAGGGTTAGAGAATCACGTTGGGATCATACGTGCGAGATTGCCCTCCTGCAGGGGGCAGCGAGCGAGATATGCCTGCACGAAGCAGCACACCAAGTCGATAGTTGCCCTGGCCCTGTGGGGTTGTTGAGTGTTGTCCCATCGTCCTTGTGGGTTTTTACCAACGCTGTTTGTCCGTCATTCCTTTGATAATATAGAAATAAAAGTCGGACAAGGAATTAGCGATGCATCGTAAATTGGCACAAAACTTCCCCACTCCAATATGTTCATTTGTGTTTTTGAGACTACGTGACCGAACTTGGAGAGCGTGCAAACACTTCTAATTAAGATAACTAACCGCCCGGCAACCACCGCCTCACTGCCATCTGCGAATCACAAAGCAAAACAAAGAGTGTGCTAACAGTGCCTGTTTGGACAAGGTGAAGAGAAAGAGCAGGAGATTACATGCCATTCATCATCCAATGCCGGCTAACGGACGATAAAGTTAGGACCAAAAAGTCAACATTAAAAAAATATTGCACGTCTATCATGTACAAGATATACGTCTCTATTGCACGATATCGTGCCGGTGATTGTGGTTGTGTGTTTGTCTTTCTGCAGTGCTGGTGGGAGTGGTGGTGGCCCTGGTGCTGCTGCTGGCGACCTTCGGGGCCGTCATGCTGTACATTCTACGGTGAGGCCTCCTTCCAGCCATGCACCGCAAACGGCCTGTGTGCTCACCTCATCAAAGCTTCAGCTCCCTTCCTCCTTGCCTCCCCACCTCTCCACCTACTTTCCTGTTACCTGCCCACCTTCTCACTTACCAACGTCAACTCCCCACCTCATCACCTGTCCACTTACTTATCCACCCCCACCCCCCCCCGCCTCATCCCCACTTCCCCAAGGCCCGACATCGTTCCCCCATTTAAATTGTAACTCAAGCAACGACGACGCAAATTTGCAGGCGGCTTCTGTACCTGGGCAATAATGTGTGCGCCCGTGTGTCATACATGTGGCGAGCCGTGGTGGCGTGGTTAGTACACCGTGCCACGAGCGCGTTGACCCTGATGTCAACCCTCGCTCACAGCCAAAACCGGTGGCGAATATCTGAACTGGTTCTGGGCATATCCCCTAGGTCAACTCAGCCTTAAAAGAGTACCTTATGCGGTGCAACAATGGTGGAGACAAAGTCGCCCGGACGTGGGGCTAGCCACCACCTCCCTGCCAATCCATTATCCACGTGTTACAATGAGAATAATAGGCGCTCGCTAGCAGTATTTTCCCCCAACAGGCTACGTAGGGGATTTTGTCTTCTCATTCCTCTATAATACACGGGATCTTTTAGTTACAATTTTTATTTTATAAATGCATCTGGCCGGATAGCTCGTCGTGAGAGTTAGCGGCTCGCAATCGGAAGGTTGTGGGTTCAAATCATGATTGGATGGATGTTGACTCAGCCCATCATCTCTACGTGGACATTAAAATTAATACCGCTGCATGGGTAAGAAGACAGTGGTTGCCCGATGGAAAGACTCACACTCGCCATAGGAATGTGGAATGTGTGTGCATTGGCCCGGGGCTATAACAGGAGATGAGGGTTGCCTCAATACTCAATTGAGCAACACATCACTTTAACTTTGCCTATTAAATATAAGCATATATCTCTTTGTTAATTTAGCCAAGCATAACTCGCAATGCTAAGCAGATAAACAAGACAGAATGGGACCCTTGTGTTTACTCTTGGGAGAGTCATCATGCCTCAGGTCCCACGTGAGGTTCGGATGGATGAGTCCTACAAAGCAAATTTTCACAGTGGGCCCCTTTCTTGGAAAGCCATTAATAATCAATTCTATCATTAGCCAATGCCAAATCGAGAGACACCCTTATTCCCAAGTCACAGCCATACCCCGAAAAGGTAGTTGGCAGACATACCTCGGGATATATTTTAATGGATATTCTGGATATCTGGATATTCTGAATGGATATTCTTTAAGCACTTTGGCTTAAAGATTGCTCCTCCAGGTTGTTTGCCAGGAACCTTTGTTACCACCAAGTGGAACACCAGATACGGCTCATATGTTATGAACAAACCAGATAAATACAAGTACAGCCCTTTGTGAATCCACTGCTGGTCGCAAGGTCTCCCCATGCCAACCAGTGCATGAGGAGGGTTCATTGACCATACTTCACCATGCTGGTCAGCGTGGGTATAACGATCGTGACACAATATGCGTTACAATTTGGATTTTCGTAGCATCTAAACGCGGCGCATCTCAAGATGAAGTACAAAAAAAGTCGGGCGTGTTTATTTAACAAAAGACAGGGAATCAATCCGAGACAAAATAACAAAAAACAATGGTCTTGAGCCTGGATTTGACCAAGAACAGGGAGTCGACAGCATGGGTGGCTGGGGGAAGGAAGTTCCAGGCTATGGAGGCAGCAGAGGAGAATGAGCACCATCCACCATGAGCGATTGTCGACCAGATGGTCGACGATATAACGATGATCACGAAGGGCGAGGAAGCAAGCCTGTACTTGTGACTACACAACACAATACAATAACTACACGTCCTAATATGTGCCTCCAAAAATGACAGCACGTACGTTGATTGCTTTCATTCACTGGGTAACGTAATCCCTGATGTTCTCTATGTCGTTTTAAGTCTCGTGCTGAACACTTACAGATACACAATCCCCATCATAATTCTTGAAGTCACGTGCCACTTGGTTCACTCGTGTACGGAAATATACATCCGTGAAAAAAAAGTAATTTACCTCCCATGGAATGTGACGCTAAAGCCGATTGAACTACCGTTGATGAATGCCGTACGGCATATACAAGACAGATGGCCACGTGATATATTGCACACACCTATAATGCCTGTAGCCATCATGTCTATATACAAATGCTTAAAGGTATACATATCTTGAGTAAAAGCCAGATGGGGTTAGGGTAAAATATAGTTCTGTTTTATATCCCCGTTTAGCTTAACTTTGGAAAGCCTTCCTCTAAAGGTCACGAAAGGGCACGCATTTATGTTAAAATCCGCACGACTCTGAAAAATGTATGACATAAAAAAATTGCAAAGTGAAAATACAAATGTGCATGTTGGGGGCGGGGGGGGGTCCTCCAAATTTGTTTCCGATTGTGCTACATCAGGACACGAGGTAAAGAATTTATTTGAAAATCTCGCACAGCAATGCAACCCATGCATGGCAGATAATAGCTGCAGATGAGATTTTTCAGGGGACTGCTCCCACTAATACCCTGCAAATGCCCTTTTTATAATTTCCCCACACGCTCTGCTTTGAGACTGACACAATCAACCGAAACCAACCATTGTGTTACTTCATAGATTTTGACTTTTTTCCAATTAATTGCAAAGCCACATTTTATCTTGTGGGTGTGTGTGTAAATGGGGGTGACTTCCATTAGACCATCGAATTGGAACACTTTGAGAACCCAGTTTTAATCACGGGTGGCTGAGATGCCAAGTCTAAAGTAAATTCCTAAGCCATCTTCCAGAAATATGAGCAGTTTGCGTCTACATAATTCGTTTTGCATGCCTGCACGGAAACATCATTGCTGCAGCTTAAAAGCGCAGTTTACTCACAATGCCTCAAGCAAGGTATTTGGCGAACGGCGTCTTTTAGCGCCAGCGTCGTTCGCTGGCTATGCCAACTCCCATGATGTGATTATGATATTCACGTTACAAAGATGCGTTCCCAAAAAACACTCTGCGGTCTCAAGGAGATTAAACCATCGACTCTACACCGCACTCTCAAATATCTGTGGTCACAGTGTGGATTTAAAAAAGTGTCCAAAATTCGACCGCAACTCAAGACTCTGTTCTGAAACTGTGGGCATATTAGTTTAATAGGTCTTGAGCCTGGAGTTAGTCCAGGCTCGATAAACACAGAAGTAGGGGGGTCGACAGCATGGAGAGCTGGGGGACGGGTGTTCCACACAGTGGGGGGGCAGCAGAGGAGAACGAGCACTGAGAGAAGGCTGATCGGGGGAGGGGGGGGCTTGGAAAGAAAGCCTTGGGTTGCGGGAGTGGAGAGTGAACGGAGGGGAGTTACTTGATACGAAGAGTGGAGAGGCAGGCGAGTGCTTTTTCCATGTTTTTTGTGTGTTTCGTTTGTTGTCCTTTCCCCCGCACCTCCGATTAGCACGGTTGGCAGCGTATGGTGCGGAAGAGATTAAATATACATATATATACACACGTGAAGGGAAGGAGAGTGAGATAAGAGGAGAGGGAGGCAGGTGGCAGTCGAGGTAGCATTATGCATGCTGTGAGTGTGATCTTGAAATTGATCCGGGATTGGATTGGAAGCCGGTGGAGCTATTGAAATATTAAGGTGATGTGACCTCGCTTACGGGTACCGTCGAAGGGCCTGGCAGCGTGGCACTTTGGATAACGTGGAGTGAGAGTTTTGCTTGCAGTTAGAGGTACTCTACTGTATTGTATAATGAGGTCAGGGTGGTTCAATGGCACCGTGGTCTTGTTGTCCACCTGCTTAACTCGAGTGCACATATTAGGCACGAACTTTGCCCAACTGGTCATGTATTCGGTGGAATATTTACAGCGCCAAATAATTTTGTTCACCGATCTTTTGAATGATTAATACTCTCCTGTTCATTTTCCATGAAGTCACTTATTTTTAGTTGCCTTGAAACGTTAAATTCATTATCAACTAACGTATGACCAATATACACAACATACCTTTATTCTCTGGTGTCGATAATGTACAGCTCGGAACATTGCATTATATTTCTTCCCGAAAGAAAATCTCCTAAGTTTATGCCAGTGCTGTTCGTCCAAGGGATTTGAACCTTTACAAAAAAAAGTGCCGCGTTCATTCAAAGTGAGCAGTGGCAACCATGCCTTTCTCCGTGCTTTGTAATTTCAAATCCTTGGAAGAGCTTGCAACACTTCCATGAACGCGGAATAAAGTCACCCTAATTAAGGGGCATTAGAACTCGTTCCACCCTTGGTGGCTACCGCGAGAGTTTGAATAGCAAAACAAAGCGTTATACTCCGCTCACACGAAACACCATACCTGGCTAAATGCCAGCGATTTTCAATACTGTAGTCGTGATCCCCATATAATCCTCGCTATGTGCTCACAGCTTGATACGAAATGTTGAGCCACATTTTTGTCCGTAGTAACGAAGATGATGGGGGGGGGGGCGGTGGGGGTTGGGAATCATGGCGCAATGGTTAGCGCGAACCAGCCCGAGCAAACCACGCACTCACCAGTGCAGTGAAGTATGGTCAAACAACCCCTTTGGCTGAAATAGCGTAGGGGGAGGCCTTCATTCAGCAGTGCATTGATAATAAACTAAGATGTTACGCATGCTAAATACTCATTTGAATTAATAATACACAAGCACTCAACACAATACCGTTACTGTAAAACAGTGATGCATTTCGATAATTATTAGTGTTTTATGATTATTATTCTTAGTTCTTTCGGTAAAGTCACGTTGAAGGGAAACAACAAAATAATAAAATATATATAAACAATAAAAGATGTTACGTATTGTTTTTTATTGTTTATATATTTTATTATTTGGTTGTTTCCCTTCAACGTGACTTTACCGAAAGAACTAAGAATATTAATTACTGCAGTCACGAAAGCTTTAAATTAAAATTTTGTTTTATGATTGTTTTAGATATCTGAATTAAC